ATTGAACGTTCAATATTTAGGTGTAAAGTGCTCAATTGAAGCTTTAAACATTCCCGGAAAAGTTTTTTGTTTGGAAGTATATTAATAATTAAAATATAAGGATTAGTGGCAGAATATTTGCTATAAACATAATTTTTCAATGAAACCATTTAGTCGAACAAAACAAACACAAACTTCGCTTGCAAAAAAATCTATTACATGTTAGCACGCGTTTTTGTATCTCAAATGTATTTGATTATTTGGCTGTAAACTTTAAAAATTCATTCGAAAAGATTGCGAAATAAAATTTATTTAAATTAAAGATATTGTTTGAGTTCAATAAGCGGTTAGAACAGATTAATGATTAATGGTTTCATTTTCTAGCTTTATTTGACTATTAAAAAAGAAAAATCTCTTTCCCATAACAAATAAAAATACACAGTCAATATAAAAAGTTTGCGGATGCTATTAGAATAGATGCACCTGTATTTTTGTTGTAGATAAAACAAAAATAATAAGAAACTAGAGAACAAACATAAAAGATTGAAAGAACAGAACAAAGATACGAAGTAAACGAAGTAACAAAGTAAATAAAGTAACGAAGTAACGAAGTAACAGAAGTAACCGAAGTAACGAAGTAGTAAATAACAAAGTAAATAAAGTAACGAAGTAACGAAGTAACGAAAGAACAAAAGAACGAGCTAACGAATAAAAATCCGCAAAGCATACAAAATAAAATCGAGAAAGATTATGCGAGGGATTATTCATGATTCTTTTCTATATTAGTTATTAATTATCTCTATATAACACTAAAACAAAATTAAATAAAGGAGAAGTTGCCATATAAAAAATCGTTAAAAATGACATGAATCATATTTTGTCATAAATATTTGTGTGAGTGATTGTGTTAAAGGTGAAAATATCTGTGATGTTATTGGAGTATTAGATGTTTTCGGCGCTGAGAAAGTATCAATCGAATCATTATTAGTATCAATAACGTAACTTTCACCACTTTCAGCGAAGAAAAATTCGTCTTCAAATAAAATAGAAAGTTGATTGTCGTTATCCTTATGATTTAATTTATCGTTATTGAACACGTCGTCGAGCGAATTTTGAGCTAAATCATTAGTATAGTCTTGTTGATTATAAATGGTCGTTGTAAAGTCATTACTATAATCTTGTTGGTTATAGATGCCTGTCGTAAA